CCCAAAGCTAAAGGAAGGAACCGTCACTGTTAGAAATAAGCACACAGCTTAGAGGCCCGCCCCAAAGGATCCCTGTTTTATTCCAGCTCTTGTAGAAGCTATGCTGCTCAAAGTCCTCGCATATCTGGTTGCCCTGTACTTTCCAGAGGAAAAAAACCTTTGCTGCCTCTGTTCACATTATAAATTAATTCACAAATATACACTTGATAGAAATATAAACGTCCATGATTTTCATACATACAAAAATACTCATAGAAACAGGTTTTTGGGGATATAATTTGGGGATAGGTAGTCTCTTTGGTTGTCTTTCTGTACAACAGCTAAAAGGCAGTGGCATTTTCTTATTTCTTTAAAAAAAAAAAAAAAAGCAAAGACAATGTAATCTGTGCCTCACAAGCCAAGGGAAAAATAATTCCCTTAAATTTCCAACGTGTATTTCTTTTTTCTTTTTTGTATTTAGGACAGGATGTACAGGGTCTCACTGTGTAGATTAGACTTGTAGTGATCCACCTGTTTACAGCCTCCCAAGTGCTGGGATTACAGGTGTGTCACCAGTGCGACCGGGGAACAACGTATATTTCAAAATAAATTTTAAAGCAATTTGAGAATCTTTAAAAAAATAAAAAAAAAGGGATAAACAAATTTCTTTTACACTGTGCATGACAGTCTCCAAACTCTCAGAACACCCAAATATCTTCAACTCAAAGGCTCAAAAACATGGTATGAAGGCAACTCTCAGGGCCACTATCTACAGCTTAATGAAAAGCTGTTCTCCTAAACCCAGCAACCATCTGCATTTTTAATTAATACTTAAAAAAAATGTATTTGGTACAGGGTCTCACTGTGCAGGTCAGACTCGTAGTGATCTTTCTGTTTCAGCCTCCCCAGCACTGGGATTACAGGTGTGCACCACCACACCTGGGTTTAGTGGCCAGCTCAGTGAACCTGGGGTGGGGCTGGGGCTCGAACCCAGGTCCCTGAAGCTTGCCTAAGCAGGCGCTTATTCCAGGAGCTATCTCCCGGGCCCAATTAATACTTCTTGAAGAAATTGCTGTTCTATCATCCCGGGTCTTTGCCAGCACTGGGGAGACCACAAGTGTGATTTGAAGGAAGATACCTCTGAGAAGTAAAAGGAAGTTTAAAAATAAATAAAATTATAGATATATTTTTAAAAAATCTGACCACAGATGGTTTGTCCCTATAAAAACTACAAAAATACCATTTAAAAATGGCTTAATAATAAAATTCTGATAATACTTTGTTAGAAACTGAAATATCCAGGACACAGCTAAAAGATGGGATGCTGTTCACCATCATACACTGGGGCGATGGTCCCTCAGACCCTGGGGGGCAGCAGCAGGAATAAGAAAGAGCGGCATTGCTTTTGCTGCCCAGGAAAACCATTTCAAGTGACTTCATTCAGCCAGCTGTGGTGGTGCGCACCTGCAGCCCTAGCACTCAGGAGACCAAGGCTAGAAGATTCCAAGTTGGAAGCAGAGGGCCACACAGAATTCAAAAACTACATGGGCTACATAGCTAGACCTTGTCTCTTATAGTTCAGATCTAAAATGCTCCCCCGGTCTTTTTCTTCCTTTTGGTTTTTGGAGACGAGGCCTTGCTGTGTAGTTCAAGCTAGCCTTGCATTCAGTATGTAGCCCAGGCTGGCCTTGAGCTCACGGTGATCCTCCTGCCTCAGCCTCCCAAGCGCTGAGATTCTAGGCAAGCATCATGATGGCCAGTTTGAAAGAGTGTATTTGCATGCATGGCTCTTCTCTCTCTACAGTGCTACTGTAGACGTATCCAGCATCTGCAGTAGCACTCGGAAGAACCCTAACATGAGCAGCCTTCTTTCCTCGTGCCCTCTTACGATGCCTTTTCTGTCTGCTGTGGAGCCTGCCTGCCAGCCAGGGACTGAGGCCATGAGCCCAAACCAAGCTCTCCTCTATGTTGCAGGGATCCGGTATTTTGTCCCAGAGACAAGAAACTGCCTAATACACTGTCTTAAAAAGCAAAGGCAAAAACAAAAACAACAAACAAAACAAAACAAAAATACAGCCGCCTCCCCAAAAACAAAACAAAAAAACAACCTTTTAATTAGAATCTTTGGTTAGGTGAGTTCTAGCTCCATTCCTACCCGCTGCTATCCTTGCAGGGATCTCTGCCCATGAGGTGGTTTTTTTAGGAACTAGACCATAGAAGTCACCAGCACCACCTCTCCCTGACTCTACAGTGGTCAATGTGACTTGGAAAAGGGATCTAGCATCTCAGAGTTTACTTCCCTCTGGGCTGGTCATGCCTATCTCCCACAGTGGCTACGAGGGCGACAGGGTAGGTAAGAAGATGTATCCAGCATCTACAGTAGCACTCAAAAGGAACCCAGGGCCATGCCTGCAGTGTCATTGCTGCTGGGGGCCAGCTGGGCACCCTGGATGCCCAGTACCCACCAGATGCCAGACAGGGGGACCTGTGAGCAGCACATAGTTCAAGAATTTGTGGCATTTCATATAAAAATCCAGATTACCCGGCTTTTCTAGAAAAATCAGCACCCTGCCATGTAGAAGACAACCAGCTGCTCGGGGCAGGCTTCGGCAGGCCTCTCTCTGCTGCTCCAGGTGCCAGCTGCTGCGGTCTTCCCAGTTGGGAGTTCTGCTCCCTTCTATTATGGAGCTGCTGGGACACAGTGACAGACAGAACAGAGATGGTCCAGCCCCACACAGGATGCACAAGCTACCTGTGTCTAAACAGATCCACCTAGAAAAACTCCTTGGAGTTAAGTGTTCTCTGCTTCACAGGACCACGCAGAAGTTTGTTTCCACCGCAGGACCTGCGCCTACACCTCCGAGCCCTCCCGGGGATACATGAGGCTGTTGACCATGCTGAAGTTGTAGAAGGGGCTGCTGAAGGGGCTGCTCTGGCCTGCGCTGGTGCTGGCGGGGAAAGCGCTGTAATAGGAAGGTCGCTGGCTGCTGCTGGTGCCGCTGCTCAGCTGCAAGGCATCGGAGGCCGCCTCCGGGACGGAGGTGGAGGGGAAGGGGCTGCTGGGGGCCAGCTGGGCACCCTGGATGCCCAGGTGGCGGCTGCTGGGGAAGGC